ATAGAGGGGTGTAGTCTTGGCTAGACCGATAGTTTTAATTTCGCATTTATCTCGGTTAGCCGGCGTGATTAATTTTAGAAAGGATTATTTACCCCCCTCTAGTCCGCCATCTTGACCCTACACCGGCGCGGTGCCCTCCCCACCCCTGGCGACGCCCTCTCTCATCCCGACAACCGAGCTCCCCCCACCCCGGTAGCCATGGCGCTCCTCGCCCCCCATCCCCCACCGTCACCGTCGAGCCAAGCCCGGCATTGGTGACACCGGTGGTAGTGGTGCTGGCGTGTAGCTACTCGCCGCCGTCTCCGACCCCGACAACCAAAATCGACCGATCTAGCCTTCCCCTCTCCTATGTTGCACATGTATGTTTTAAGTGTTTCAGGCGTTTTAGATATATGTTGCAATTGTTTTATATGGATGTTGCAAGTGTTTCAGAGGGATGTTGCAAGCGTTTGTTCAAAATGTTTCATCTATTTCTAGACGTATGTTGCAATCGTTTTGATTTGGATATGTTGCAATAGTATGTTCCAAAATGTTTTATTTGTTTTAGTCTTCTGTTGCAGCAAGTGTTTTCATGTTGCAAGTTACAAGTGTTCTATCTGGATATTGCATATGGTTTTCACACATATGTTGCAACCTGTATGTTCTAAATGTTTCATCCATTTTTAGGCGTATGTTGCATTCAAGTGTTTGATGTTGCACGTGTTTCATGTTGTTAAAGAGAATCGAGGCGCGGGAATGGGCGGCGAGCCGATGGTCGACAGACGTGGTGCTTGTGGGCTGGGGGCCGTGATCGGGGGCACGACGGAGGGGAGCGCCTACTGGGCGGGGGCGAAGGATGGGGATGGGGCGGCGGTGCATGGATGGGGCGGGTCAGGAGTTGGAATGGGCGTGTCAAGCGCGTGCGGACGAGTGTGTGAGATAAGCATGGTGAGGTAGGGGATTTTTTATTTGTATATTAACGTTTCAGTGGGAATTTGCACTGTCCGACGCTAAGCGTCCGGATCGGAAGTCCGGGCGCTAGCAAACTCCGATACTGAATTTCTTCCTAGTTTCTACCACCCGCATCAGTATACACTCTGCAATACGTACAACGGTACAAGCATGTGCATCATTTGGAATCCTCGCGAGAAAGAAAAATGTACAGCATTTGGAAGCGCCGTGCCGCAGCAGGAAACTACTGAGCAGCCGTCCAACTATCCAAGAGTGATGGGTATCCAGAAGACCAGAACAAAATATCGAAACAGCCAGCAGCAGGATTCCCTCAAAAGATCCCCAAGGACCAAGGTCCTTGGATGGGCAATCCTTTTGGAAACGTCATAGAACACGACGAACGGATAGCTCCAGACGGACCACTGCGTTGGCGCTAATCGATACTCCATAGAGTACAAAGGAGGCATTTTCTGGAGTGTTCCATATACGATGACGAAACACGCACGCATCTGCCTAGATGGACGAGGTTTTAATTGAGCCCACCTTTGGAACGGCCTTAGCCCATGAGCAAGCAGCGGCGTTTTCACGGCCTCCTGGGGTCAGCTTTGCAACTAGGCCGTGTGTGAGATTCAACTCATGCGGTCTGAGGTGCCCAGGAAAGGTGAAAACCATGCCAAGTATACAGCTTTTTAAGTTTAGATAAATCAAACTTTGGCTTAGAAAATAAAGCTTCCTCCTTTAATTCTTTGGCCATCTTCACCGATCGATTTGGTGTTTGGCCAACAAAATACAGATTGGTTAACGTGCATGCTTTTGGTGATATATTTCCTCAGTGCAACTTAGGGGTTCTATGGTACTTATATAGTCTGTAAAATTTACTGAAAATTTTGAAGCAAAATAATGTCTCAATTAGTATGTTGTATATAAGATGTACTTAAAGCATGCAATTAAATCAACGTTGGTCGGAATTAAGAACATGTTTAAGGACTTTAATCTGCATCACCGTTGGGAAGAAAACAAACAAAATCCATCTTAATAACTCATAATTAAAGTCAACGTTGGTCGGAAATTAATTATGAGCAATCTCCGGTTAAACTTCTCGTTTGTTCCATTTAACTAGAGACCATCTTATTATACAGTGGTGGATATATGTGTAAGTATAAAGAATTATAATTAAATGCAAATTCATGCAAAACTTAATCTTAGAGCATCAATTAGAACATAAAATGCTCATGAAAGCATAAATTTAATGCTGGAACTAAAAAGTTAGATCTCAAACTTAAAACTTGTTTAAACAGTGCATAAAGATAACTAAGGAAATCGCACTAAATTTTTTTACTAAAACTTAAATATCCTTAGCAAAAATATTCCCAAACATACTTAAAAAAGTAACTTATATCATAAAAAAAGACAAATTAAACTTTATATGAAATGGGGATATGCACCATTATGTGGGTCGTAAACTTCTTTGCAATAAGGCACTAATTAATTCACTGATGCTAATGGTAAAGCAAACTTAAATCTGAATGAAAAGCATAATTGGGATCAGAATATAGCCCACTGCAGACAGAAAGAAACTTATAGCCAACTCTTGCGGCAGAAATAGTGCATGGTTGGCCAAACTTATCGTGTGGCATGCCTCTGAGCAACAATTGAAAAACTCAATTTAAAAGTAAATTACTAAGAGCTCTTTTACAGTGGTTGGGGGTATTTCTTAGTTCCTCTTAGTTCCTAAACAATTAATTAGCGCTAATTAATTTTATGAGTGGAAGGTTAATACGGTAATTGCGGCTCCCCTCCCCCCGCTACCCCTCCCCCTTGCGCGACCGAACCCAAGACGCTGCGCCACGCGCGTTAATTCAAGGACATAAGGAGTTCAGATTGAGCGAGGCTTCCCTTGCCTCGCCTTAGCTGCGGCCGCCGCGCCTCGACCTCGCCATCGCGTGGCGCCGCCGCCACCGGCCTGCCCTCGCCACCACCGGTCGCTCCTCCCTCCTCCCCCCGGCACCCCTCGCCCACGCGCACCGCCGCCGCCAAGGACGCTCCTCTCCTGCTCCACAACTACAAGGCGGCGACGCACACGCACGACTTCCTCTCGCAGACGCGCGCGCCGCCGCGCCAGGACGCGTGAGGTTGCGATGAAAGACCTAACAGTTGACGTCGCCCTCGCCATTGCTTCGGGACGCCATCGATTAGCGCAGCGTCGTCCAGGATCGATCCGAAACACGCCGCTGCAAGGCTTCTGCCTCGGTTCGGTTTGGCGAACCCTCGTCGTGCCCGGCCCGCTTCGGCTCGATCGTGCTCTCACGGACCGCGATCGATTTGAAGGTGCGCACATCCGTTGCTCCTCATTCGCCCCTAGCACGTGTCGTGGTCGCCTCGTGATCTAATGCTTCGTATTATGCTTGCATCTTTTGGGCTCTGTCTCATCTGCTGAATCCATGTCTTATATTTGTAATCTTGCCGTTACTGTGAATCCTTGCAGCAAAGCAAATATTGACGCACAAGCAATACTCGAGATCCAGCGGTGCAATTTTGATTTGGGTAGCCACTCGGTGTTCCTCATAGGTTCTTTGTGTTGCCGGATCGAAATTGGCCAGATCGGTTTGCCTTGTGTTAGATAGTTTACTCAATGTGTTAGTGGGGTCCCAAAAGTGCCAAATCGAAATTGACCGGATCGATTTGCCTTGTGTTAGATAGTTTACTCAATATGTTAGTGAAGTCCCAATCGATCTAGTCTATACTTTAGTAACCTACTCCGATCATATTAGTTAGTTGTTTTGTATGAGTGCCACCTTGGCAACCTGCATTTTTGGATTCCAATTTTATTTTTAGTTCTCGCTATTAACGACTGAATACCCACCTTATAAAGTAAGAAGTAATGCTTCTCAAAATCTCATTCCATCCTTTGTTTTAGTACATGGTTGTCTCACACTCTCTTATATTGCTTTATACTACTATTTCTTATGGGGAAATAGTTTTAGATTGTGGCCTCACTATTCTCTATTTTGCTGTCGGTTCACGGGAGGTGCTCTTTGTAATCCCAGTAACTGAGGTATGCACCAGTTTGAACTTTAGCTCTGATAACCTACCTGTCCCAATTAATATATGGACCTTCCTCCTATTTCTCTTCTACTAAACAGCAGCCAGATTGGCACACACCATCATCCTTTCAATCGGTTGGTGCTCATGCTGAATACTTGATAAACAATTTTAAAATCAACTTTTTAGTTGTAAATCTTCAGTTCCTACTATTTATTTGGCATATAAAGTCACACAGCACAGCTCATACCTGCCAGTATTTCCTGTGAACTATATATAGTGTCTTCATAGGCCATTGAAATTTCTTGTTCCACAAAAACGTTTATGTTGGATCAACATAATAGTCCTTCCAATATTATATCACAAAAATTCTTTTCAGGACTATTACAGCATGATCACACTCAAAAGTTTCATAAATATTTAAACTGATACCATTTTATTTGATTTTCCTATTTGGATTAGGTACGAGATTGGATGGACTGACTGCTTGTGTTTTTAGAGTTCTATCGCCATCGGTCTACATATAATCTGCATACTTATTGTGAGTATCTACGTATAATTAACCTCCCAGTCCACAAACTGATTGTAGCTGCCCACTGAAGCTCTTTGTTTTCCACATTTAAATTATTGATTTTTTGCCTTTCAAAGTTGTGTTCAATACTTAGTGCTACATTGATAGTGTGGCTATATTTACAACTTCAATGGTTTTGTATTATGCACTTATGTTATTGTTTTTCCCTTTAAATTTTGAGGCCCTAGACTAAGCTGATCAGCCTACTTCTACTGTCACAATATAATACTGCAAAACCATATCAACTTCTACCTACTTGCTTCTAAAAAAATCTACTTGCTCAAAGAAGCAAACAAGAAGATAGACTCAGATTACCATCATCATCAAATATAATATTGCTAGCTTAGACGTTGTTACGCCAAACTTCTTTGGAAGAAAACTGTTTTTGCACATCTCTTTTCTTGTTGGAATTTACTGTTCCCTATTGCATAATATACAAGCATCTGTACAGGAGGAAATGTCAGATCTTGAGTCTTTGCTAGAGTACAATGAAATTGTCAAGAAGTTGTTTGCTACTGAAGAAGAAGGATTTCAATTCTATAACAACTACGGTTTTGAGAAAGGATTTAGTGTGAGGAGAAGCTATTGTGAGTGGGACAATGGCCACAATGAGATGACTCTTCGGAAGTTCGTTTGCAGTCGTCAAGGTTTCCGTGAAGAGAAGCAACTGAAGAGGGCGATTAAAAAGCGGAAGCCGCGGAATATTACCCGTGTTGGATGTCTTGCTAAATTTGTGATTGCACGAGATCAGACCACAGGGCAGTGGTATGTGAAGGATTTCATCGATGAACACAACCATCCGATGGCGCCAGCAGAGCTTACTTGTCTGCTACGTTCACATAGAAGAATTAGCGATGAGCAGAAAGCTGAGATTGCGGAGATGGAGAGTTCTGGGATCCGCAAACACAAGATAATAGATATTTTGGAAATGCAGTATGGTGGGTATGATAAGATTGAGTGTACAACAAGGGACTTGTATAATTTCTGCCATCGCTATAAGGCGGAGACAATTGTTGCCGGTGACGCTCAAACAGTCATCAGTTACCCATGCTGCTGGTTACTACGTACTACTGGCAGGCGAGGGAGACACAGATCCTGGACCGGCCTAAACAAAACACAACATGGCTTTTTTTTAAATCTGTCAACGAACTGCTACAAAATAATGTGCCGTGTCATGCGGGGCCTCCTCTACAGTTAGCTTTAGCTTCACCACATCATGAAGCTACACTATGCTCTACGGACTGGACCGCCTGGACGGCCTTTCATCAGAAGTTGCACAAGTGCATCTGATCTCCCGGTTGGCACCCTGGATCTAGATGATGACCTGCATCTTTCTTCCTGTAATCACCACCAACCGCGGCCCAAGTCAACAAGCAAACCCGACCTATATGTGCATTCCAAAACTTCTGCTGCCATTTTCAGAATACATGCTCCGAGATTCAGGATGCTTCTCTTCTATTCAAAGATCCAACAAAATCGTCACAAAATTGCATCAGAGAAAGAAATCATTCAAAAAAGATTAAAAAACTCTTCACCTCTTATATTAATATGTTGAATATCCTTATCCTTGCTCAACTCTTACGTTTCTTCTTCACTTTGCCCTATGGTAGCTGTCTTGCTACTAGTAGTGCACTGTGGAGATAGCCTGGTTTTTTCAGTGTTCAGGCACAGAAGTGCATCATCTTCTGCAGAAAAATAAAGTATACCCCTGATGATCTTTTGCCTAGTAAAATTCATGAAAACTCAATCAAACAGGTTATCCTTATGAAAGATTTAATCATCTTTTAAGAGGGAGTCCAGTCTCTACAGAACAAGAAATACAATTCCTAACTTCCTGCAGATTACCATGTAAAATTATTTAGAAAAAAAATGAAAGTATAGAAATATGAGATACCTGTCAAGCTTTGATCTGAATAGCTAGATGCAGGCATTGCACCACCAGTGTGTGCAGGTATTGACACAGTAAAACTTTCAGATCTATCCAATTCCTTACGAAACACTTGTAACTCTACCTAAAAGAACAGGAAAAAGGTAAAGATAATATGTTACTATTATTTCCAATGTATATTTGGTCTAGTGAACTCTAATGAAAATTCTTGCCACAACCCACAAGTGCTAATAGCAAAACAATAGCAATAAAGCCTACTATCCAAGCACGCTGGGTAGGCTGTTACTGGTAAAAAAACACTACATATGCATTTAGAAAGAGGAGCAACCTTGGTAACTCTTTTTTCTATGTCAAACTTTGAACAAAAAACATTAAGATGGCATGACTTCTCTGGCTAAAAAAGGATTGTAATGCATATCAGTAAAAGCATTAAGATACTCAATTTCAAATATTGATACAATTCATAGTGTATCTCATAGGTTAACAGATTCTTCTGTTTGGTCTGATTTGCTTAAAGTCAAGGATATCTATCTGATGGGTACCGACATCTGTATGAAAAATGGAAACCTCACTAGATTCTGGAAGGATAGATGGCTTTATCAACAACCTCTTTGTTTGACAGAGCCAGAGCTTTTTGAACTATGTGAGAGGGTTCAAAGTACTAAGTGGGCTCGACTCGTCACAGGCTAACATCACTTCGAGATGACCAAGCCAATCAAGCTCAGATCAATAAGAAATTGCAGGTTCAGATCAATAAGAAATTGCAGGTTTAATGCAGTGATTGCTAGACAAAACTGACAGAACTCCTATATTTAGTGAACATTTGGCTCATGAAGTGAAATGTAGAACAAAATCAGCAATTCTATACAAATTCAACAATCCAGGAATACTTACAACGTGGATAACTTAAGAACTAGGGAATCGGTGTATGTACCTGCATCGGGGAGAGGTTGCTGTTGACGAACTGGACGACAGTCTCCTTCTCGTCATGAAGCTTCTGGCAGACCTCGCCGTCCCGGAGGCAACTGCGGATCTTGGCCCGATTCTCATGAGTCCTCCACCCTCCCTCTGATCCAGTGGAGTAGTAGTCGAGGCGGTACTCCTTGTACCCCGCCGGAGACGACCCACCCGGCGCCACAAGTTGGTGACGACGAAGGCAAATCACGGTGAAGGCGAAGAGGAGCAGGATGAGGAGGAAGAACCAGAGGAGGCACGAGGCGAGGCAAGAGTGCCCCGTGAGGCCCGTGAGGGAGAGCACGAGGAGGAGCACCCCAGCGCGATCACGGGCCGCTCCAGAACCCCGCCCCTCAGCATATGACGAACGGGACCGTGGACGCCGCCGTCCCGGATCTCGCCTCCTCCACCGTCTTTGTGGCGGCCGATTTGAGCAACCTCGGACCGCCGCGGGACCTTGCCTGCACCACGCCGCCCGCACCTCCCGGCACTGGGTCGGCCCGCCGCCGGCCCGGATCTCGCCTCCTCCACCGCCTTTCCGGATCTACGGTGCCGCTGTTCACGGAGATGGTGAGAAGCCGCATGCTCTGGCCGTCCTTGCCCTCGCGCACAGTAGTGGCGCCGGCCCAGCCACCCTGCCTGCCTCGCCCTCGCCCCTAGCAAACCAACGCCGCCACAAAGACACACACGAATGAAGAACAAAGCAGATGATTTAGAGTGGCTAAGGTTGAATTCGAGAAATAAACATTTTACAAACTATACTACTTCAATTATTCATATACTACTCAAAGATTATTTTACTATTATAAATTTACTATTCTACCCTTAATTACATAAAACAATTTCGAAAATAGAATTATCCCCTCTTTTCTTAAGGGCTGATCCCACCAATTTTAGTATGCACTTAGTGCATATGGTCCCACCATTTAGTATGCACTTTGTGCCTATCTAATTGGTTCCTCTTGGTTCCTCTGTCTTTTTAGCTGTCGGATCGGCCCTCGTGAGCCATCCATTTTCCGACAACCATTGTAAAAATTCTCAAATTACTAATACGATGAACTTGATTATATGGGAATCATAAAACTCAATTTAGCCATTAATCAACTCAGCACGGAACAACCCAAAAGCACAGCGCCAGGCCACACTTGCTCATGGCCGAGGCGGCCCATGCGGTTCTTCACTTAAAAGCCCAATAGCAGCCAAAAAAGGAAAACCCTAATGCCAAACGATCTCAACCGTCGATCTTAAACCGATGGCTACGATTCATCCTGAGCTCATATAAAATATTAGATAAAAACCCGTGGCCCTCACTCATCTCACTTTCTGAATTTTTTGTTTTTAGCCATTTTTTTGAAAAAAATTCACAAATATACCCCTGGAGGTATGATTTCAAAATCTGGACCTTAGCTCGGCACCATCGTTGTTGGCGCCGAGCTTACACATCTCGCCGCCATAGATTTTGGCACCTAGGTCTTGGGCTCGACGTGGACATGGCGGTGACTTGGCAGCCAGCTTGGCGCCGTAGATCCTCGCACTGAGCTTGGCGCCGTAGATCTTGGCGTCGAGCTTGGCGCTGTGGTTATTGGCGTCGAGAACGGCGCCAAGATCTATGGCGCCGAGGTGGTGTTTTAACCCGGCCCCCAACCTTCCTGCCTGAGCCTTCTTCCTCTTCTTTCTCCTCCGTCTCGGGTTTTTTCTCTCCCCACTTCACCCTACCTCACGAATTGGCATATTGGACCTTGGAAACTTTGATTTGATCCATAGATCTTCGAGAGCAAGGTATCCTCGCTCCCTCCTAGTATTTTTCACATTAATTCGGTATATATTAGTCGGATTTTTCAACTTAAGAATCGTCATTACTTAGGGTTTCATGTAATTTTAATATTTATATTATACAGTCGTAGGATGCCAAGGCGTGGAAAAGCTAGCAAACCAAGGTAACCTCATCGTACGTTGTTATGTTATGGGTTCATTGTTGTCCGATCAAATAGGAAACCCTAGGTGTAGGGTTTAATGTTAATTGATTTTGGTTCTTAGAACGAAAATGGCTAAATTGTAGTTATGGCCAGATGATCGGAAATACCTTCGACCCATTGCCTCTGTCTAGTGGTATTCCATTGCCCATGTGCTTTTGCGGTGATCCATGCAAGGTAGCCAAGTCCGATGAAGAAGACACATATAGGCAGAGGTATTGGATGTGTTCCAATTTTATGTTTGAGCCTACACTTCATCAGCGCTGCATTAACAAGATGGTGAGGAATTGATGTTTGTGTCGTACGACATCTTGCATGATTTTTTTGTTTTGTAACAATTGCATTTTTTGTAGACCCCTCCACCGCTCTGTGATTTTGAGCAGTGGATCGACACTGAGATCAAGCCTGAAGACAAGGAATGGATGCAGAAACTATTGCGGTGGGAGGCAGAGGACAAGGAGATGATGGAAAAGAGATGCGGAGAGGAGGCTGCAAAAAAGGAGCACAAGGAAGAGGAGGAAAGGAGGCGCGTTGCTGCGTACAGGGAGGAGAGGGAGAAGAAGCTTGAGCATGCATGCCGAGCGAAAGCAGCGATGGAGGAGAATCTCGATGCCCTGAGAAAGGGAAAGTGGTCTCGTTGCACTCAGTAGTCTCCATTACTTGCTAGTTCTATAGTTTATTCATGAACAATGTTGTCTATTGTTGAACTTTTCATTGTGTTGTCATGTAATGCACTTTAAGTATAGGCATGCTTAGGTCATGTACTGCGCTATTTAGTTTGTCGGCACGTACTTCTAGTATTATTGTGTTGTTTAATGTGTCATAGTATTGGACTTTTCATTACATAGTTGTTTTCGTTATTTGTGGTCATAATATTCAGTTTAATATTGCGGACGTAGTGAAATGTGATCACGTGCTTCAAACAAAACCTAACGAAGTAGGGCATTATATAATTCAACACACAAAACACATAAAATGGCATATGAGAACATGTATCGAACTAGGGTACAGAGGTCCTGAACTAAACCTAACATGCCTTATGTAATTGAAGCAAACAACAAGCACAAGAAATGGCATGTGAGAACATGTACCAAACAAGGGTACATAGTTCCTTTGACTAAACCTAACATGCCTTAGGTAATTAAACCAAACAACAAACACATGAATGTGTCATGTGAATAAGATAGGGTCATCCTAGTAGTGTGGCCACATAGCAAATTGTGTTGCACCTTCTCCACAGTAACCTCCCATTGTTGGTGATGGTGGTGGTGGCGGGGGTGACGACGGAGGCCCCTTGTTCTTGTGATTAGGGCAAGTGCAATATGGATCATTGCAGAGTGCCTCCTATGAACCGACACCATTGTTGTTGTCGTCCTGTTCGTCGTCCTTGTAACCGCTGCTAACTTCCCTTTCTAGATCGAAGATACGGTCCTGCAGGTAGTAGATGTACTCCGCATGCGGATAAATAGGTCAAGGATCGACCCACCTAGTGAACCCATAGTTTTCTTCGGCCAAGGAAGACTGCAATAAGTATGTCATGTAAGTTGTATAGAAGAGGAACATATTGAAGAAACAAATAGTAATAGCAATTACCCATGCTCGAGGGCATTTGAAGAAACGACGACCTCCATCTATTCCTTCAGTGAACATCTGCACTAGGCAGTCCTCACCATGCATGCATTTTGGCCACTCTTCTTTCCGTTCATCGTATCCACTCAGTGGTGTCTCTTTGGTGAAATCACTTTTGCTCTCAACTGGGAACTTCTCATAAAGAGCTTCCTCAAAGAAATCAGGACCAAGAGAACCCTCCCACACAATGGTAGTTCCCTTCCCCTTTCCTCTCCCTTTGGACGACCCTCCAGACATTGGTACTGCAACGAAAGAAAATACTAGTTGGGAAGTAAGTAGCAATGCATCCAACATTGCGTATATATAGGCAGAGGCAGGTTTAGTTACCGTTTCAATGTGTTATAACTGGTCACAAGAAGCCTAATTAGTTTCACTAAAGAGCCTATTTCAATGGACACTAAAAAGCCTAGATTTGTTTCCTGAAAAGTCTATTCGTCGTTGACATGATAAATCATTGAAAAGTCTAGATGCTATAAGTGTACTATGTAAGTAAAGTGATAAATCGTTGCTGTCATCGTACTCCTCGTCCTTGTAACTGAAAAGTCTATTTTCATTATCTGAAAAGTCTAGATTCATCCACTGTTACTGAAAAGCCTAGATTCATCTGCAAAGCGTCTGTATGATACGATTGTACTATACATGTTCTAATGAATTTACATTTAATCTGTGTACTATATTTATGCCTTTTTAGCAGTGTAGTATAATTAATGATTCACGGAAAAAATTTGCAAGAGTTTCCCTTGTTTTAGGAGCATCCACGGTTACAAACAGAGACATCATTATATAATCCAAATATTTAATCGTCCAAAGAGCACAATACAACAACATCGAACATCACAATCAACATAACATGTCCTGCATAGTCCAAATAGTCCACAATGTCCATATAGTCGCAAATAGTTATAGGAAAGTAACTACAAAGTCCATAATAGAAGATAATAACATCTACCATAAACCCTCACTGCCTCCTAGTCTTACCCTTATCCTTGTGACCAAGAGCGCTGGTGCCTGGAGTGTAAGGGTCAGGTGGACAGCGTCGCCTAGTGCCTGAAGGCTGTGTAGGCTGAGTCGAGGGAGCGTCCTGGAGCTGAGACATGCCAAGCTCCTCGTGCCTTTGGTCCACCTCGTCATCGT